GCTGCTGATCGTGCTCTGGCCTTCCAGGCTCATCACACGCTGCTTCTGGGCTCCGGTCACGTCGGCCTCCGAAATCTGGGCAACACGGTGAGGGGAATGTGAACCGCGCTGGCGGGCAGGGCCTGCGGCTTGGGGAAGGCGAGCCCAGAAGCTCTTCTGCGGCTTCCCGCCGTGTCTGGACCGTGACCGCGGTGTCGCGCTGCCTTCTGAATTCCCTAGTGCTTCCTGAACGCAGTGCTGCAGTGCCTGAGCAGCACCCGGCCTCTTCGGGACTTCTGTCTGAGAAGGGACTTCCGGCAAGAGGTGCCTGGAGGCGGCCGAGCCCAGGAGCTCACTGAAGGTGAGAAAGCAGCTTCTGCTCCCTGCTCCCGTCCTGCCTCCCCAGCTGCTGGCAGGCCCATCTGCCAGTGCTGGTGGCCCCATGGCATCGGGCAGTCTCTTGTTTTCCCAGTGCCTGCCTTGCCGGCGACTGTTCCACCCGCAGAGCTGCCTCCAGACCTTAACCTTTGCTTTCCTCCCGTGCTCCCACCTGACAGCCTTTGCAGATGTGATCGGCGCCCTCTGGCACCCTGACTCCTGTGAAGCCGTGAATCCTACTCGATTCAGAGCTGTCTTCCAGAAATACGTTCCCTCCTTCTCTGGATACAGGTGGGGGAGCTGGAGGGGTGGGATTTCTCCCTGGCCATGTCTAGGGAGGGCCAAGCAGGAGTCCCAGCAGCATTTTTCTGAGCCTTGAGAGGTTCTCCATCCAGAAAGTGGGACGCAGTATCTGGATAGGGGCTCGTGTCTGGACTGGGGCGCTGCTCACGCTCTGCCTGGCTGCAGCCAGCAGGACGCCCAGGAGTTCCTGAAGCTGCTCATGGAGCGGCTCCACCTGGAGATCAACCGCCGAGGCCGGCGGGCCCCCCCTGTCCTTGCCAGCGGCCCAGCTCCCTCTCCACCCCGCCGAGGAGGGGCTCTCCTGGAGGAGCAGGAGCTGAGGTAAGGGCTGCTCCCACCTCCTCCCCGGGAGTATATCGGCTGCATCACGCTTGTGGAAGTGAGCTAGAAGACAGGACAGGATGTGGGGCCAAGGGAGCCCTTAGCATAGAGAGTGTGTGAGAACGGGTGTGGAAGTAGAAGGAAGGAAGGGCTGGTGGAGCATATGGAGGCAGGAGACGGTGTGCGGTGCTGGGATGTCACCACACAGGAAGGGATCGCATACAGGTAGAAGAGATGGCATGTCCTTCCCTTGTTACAGTCCTGCCTTTTCCTCTGCCCTTGGATTTCCCTAGAAAGTTCCCTGAAGCATTTCTCCTTTGACTTTTCCTTGAAATTTAGGGAAGGAGCTGGGGTGTGAGTGGGGTCCAGGGCTCTGTGGATCATTTCGGCGGGTGTTGGGGTACCCAGCGTTCCTGCTGTCTCATGGGTGCTCCCCACATCCCTTCATGGCAGTGATGATGACCGAGCCAACCTGATGTGGAAGCGCTACCTGGAGCGAGAGGACAGCAAGATTGTGGGTATGGAATGGGCATAGCTGTGAGGGACTGTTTGTGTAGGGTGCAGGCTTGAGAGAAGAAAACTGATGTTGTCGAGGGGTATGAGGGCAAGATGGGTGGTGGTGATGTGCAGTGTGGAGAGTATCAGGAGTGTGTGAGGGGGGCAAAGGAGGATGGGTGAGGGTGGGAAAAGGTGGACCCAAGAAGTCATCTTGGGCGCCCAATGGTGACTTTTTCTCCTGCCCCTTTGCTTCCATCTAGACCTGTTTGTGGGCCAGTTGAAAAGTTGTCTCAAGTGCCAGGCCTGTGGGTATCGCTCCACGACCTTCGAGGTTTTTTGTGACCTGTCCCTGCCCATCCCCAAGGTGGGATTCCAGAGGATTCCAGGGGTGGATGGGACGTGGATTCTGTGAGCCAGCCCTGCCCACCCCAGAGTGTGGGGGGGACCCTGTGGGTCTCTGGAGCAGAACTGAAGCCTGCATTGATTGAGAAGAGCTGGAAAAGGAAATTCAGAACATGCTGACCCTTCCTTCCCCTTTCCCCCCAGAAAGGATTTGCTGGGGGCAAGGTGTCTCTGCGGGATTGTTTCAGCCTTTTCACCAAGGAAGAAGAACTAGAGTTGGAGAATGCCCCAGTATGTGTGGGTTCCCAAGGGCGGGAGGCCTGGGGGAACTCCATGGGTTAAGAGGGGCTGTGTGATACCTAAGTATGAGAGTAATATTCACATACATGGGTTTGTGTTGGCATCTCAGATATGTCCTCCTTCTTCTAGAGCAAAGGGGTGCCCAGAGGATCCCACAAGAATGGGGAACATACTACATTTGCCTGTGGGCCAGGGTGTCAGAAAAGCCGACTGCGGTTAGGAGCTGTTAACCTAACACTGTTTGGCATTTATTCAGGTGTGTGACCGATGTCGGCAGAAAACGCGAAGTACCAAAAAGTTGACAGTACAGAGATTCCCCCGAATCCTCGTGCTCCATATCCTCACTTCAGTTCCTAGCTTCTCATAGGCTGCCTTCCACACCTTCTCTTTCCTCACTCTCCACGCAGGCAGAGGCTGGACCCCTGAAAACCGAATCTTCCTTAGGAAAAGCCTGCCACCCACCTTTCCCTACACTGCTCCAGTGTGTGCTGGGGGAGGGGGGAGGTCAGCCTTCAGGACTGGAGACTCCTCAGAGGCCCTCTGCCTCCCAAGTGCTCCTTAACCAGGGCTCAGATCTGAATCGATTTTCCGCCTCCCGAGGCTCCATCAAGAAAAGTTCAGTAGGTGTGGACTTCCCACTGCAGCGACTGAGCCTAGGGGACTTTGCCAGTGACAAAGCCGGTGAGTCTGGTGTGGAAGGTCCTAGGAGCCCAGGAGGAGGGCACAGCTCTGAGCTAGAACTTGGTCATCTCTACCTCACAGGAAGCCCTGTCTACCAGCTGTATGCCCTTTGCAACCACTCAGGCAGCGTCCACTATGGCCACTACACAGCCTTGTGCAGGTGCCAGACTGGCTGGCATGTCTACAATGACTCTCGGTGAGAACAGCTTCCTATTCCACCCGGCCCTGACGCCCTCCCCTTCAGTGGAGCCCCAGGGCTCCAGCTGGAGGGAGAGGCGGACGTCTCTCCTGATCTCCTCCTGAACTGAGCTTGAGTCTCGTGGGGAGGAAGAGACATGCAGGAGTGACCACTCCTTCCCCATCTTGCTTCTTCCTAGCGTCTCCCCTGTCAGTGAAAACCAGGTGGCATCCAGTGAGGGCTACGTGCTGTTCTACCAACTGGTGCAGGAGCCGCCTCGGTGCCTGTGACACCCCTTAGGCCCTAGCACCTGTGAAACCTTCAACACCCTTCCCCCCAGGCTCCCCTTTACCTCAGAGACGTCTATTTTTGTGTCTTTTTAATCGGGGAGGGGGGAGGGGGTGGTTGTAGCTCCCATTATTTTTTTTATTAAAAAATGCCCTTCCACCTGGAGGCTCCCTCATCTCCCAGCCCCATGTACAGAGCTCACCAGGCCCCTCCCATGTACAGCCCCCAGGCCCTCTGCAATCTCACTTTTTGTGAATAAATTTATTAAGAAAAAGTGATGTGCATGGTTGTATTTGTGCTTAGGGGGTGATGTAGACCTGGGCTAAATTGGCCGAGTGTGGTGGCTTGCACCTGTAATCTCAGTATCTTGGGAGGCAGAGGTGAGGATTGCTTGAGCTCAGGAGTTTGAGACCAGCCTGGGCAGCACAGCCCGACCTCGTCTCTACCAAAAAAAAAAAGCAAAA